AACTTAATTTTCCGCAAGTGAGCTAGCGTCTTTTTCTCGAGGATATCCTTCAGGAATTGCTCAGCGAAAATCGTCCCCGCAAGGAAAGCCTTTGTCGTACTTTCAGCCTCATCATCCGCTTCCTGGGCTGCGACCTGCAAAAGGTTGCTCGTCGTAACAAGAGATTTGGAAGACGAAACCTCATCCAATTTAACTTTTAAGGATTCAACTTCCAAGCGCAGTGTAGCCGTTTGATCGTGGAGAGCTTTGACCTGCGTTCGTAATTGGTTCAGCTTCGGCTCCTGTGCTAGATTCCATTCAGCCAGAGATTTATTCTGTGCAAGTCCTGCTTCTCTTTCCGTTGGAAGTGATCGAATCTGAGGAAGACTGTCAATCAATGCATCGAAACGTGTTTCATTGTAAAGAAGGTCATTAAGCTGATCCACAGTCATATTTCGTATGCTTGCCATTGCCGAATTAACACAGACATCAGCAAGCGATTCATAAGCACTTTGGACTATTATACATCTTGTTGTGGTCTTAAATAGACCAATTTCATTTAATTCAATCAAGAAATTCGAAATATGTAGTAGATCACGCCAGTATTCCGCCTCACCCTGTATAGAGTAGGCCCAAGGAAGTCCAAAAAATGTCACGATTTAAAGATATTGGGTTGTCCCATAATTCCTGTCCGAATTTCGACACTTTCTTCTCTTGAGTTTTATCTTTCTTAAAAACCAATTGATCAAAAATATAACCATTATCATAATCACTGATATGCATCCATTTGCTAGGGAACCTTGGTGCTTTCCTCCCAGAATGAGAAGCTAGGACTTGAAGAATTCGGTCAAGGTCGTTTTTGGGGTGGTTGTATTCATTGACTTTTTCTCTCGCCGCTGCTGCTTCAAGGCAACGCGAAGGGGATAGTCCGATGGAGTAATGCCAGGGCTATATGATGGATATGATACTTTGGTCCGACCAATTCCCCTCAAAAAGTGACGAGTTATCATTGCAATGAGGAGCCGGGCGTCCATTTATCGAAAAGTGATTTTGTGACTAGGACGAACCTCTCGCACTGCTGTTGCCAACCGAGGTGGCCGTTCTACCATGGCATTCGCAATACAAGTCTGCATACACAAAAGCGTTTATGAAAATAAAACACCCAATCAATCTCACAAATCGGTAACAACATCCTCTAAACGCTGAGTTTGGGCATTGATTGAGCACTTACTGTCTTTGGCCGCGAGGTAGCATAGGGAGACACGTGTTGTTTTCGTAGTGAACAACAACGATGTCTCGTGCGAGATCCTGAGCGAGCTGCGTGTTCGTTATTCATGCAACAAGGGAGACTTCCGCAAATTGGTTGATATGCTTCTCAGTCATGGTCGGTCAATGCATCGGAATTCCATCGAGGCTCAATTTTGCCGCAGCCGTTTTCACTCAGATGGTGAACGATGGTGCACCGCAGTGTCCAGGTGCCTGCTACAAAACCCTGCTAATAGCGTCTATGTGCACTTTATTCATGGCGAAGAATTATTAGAAGCAAGAAATAGTGGAGGCAAGGTGGAGGTTGATTAAGCAGGTCGTACCGTTCTTTGTTTCATTGCGATCTGGAGTACTTCGTACCATATCAGTAGCAGAGCGTTCAGCATTATAGCGCTGGTCTGCTTACTATCCTCTTGAAAACAGCGTCATTTAGATAGTTGCGATATCGTCATTGTTGTCACTGATATATTTCGGATCCCTAATTAGCGTTATACCGTGGATGACTTTCCAATTTTATTCGGGCTAATGGTCTAGATGTATTCGTTGACAAATTAACATATTTCGCAATGACACCTTTCTGACTTTAAGAAAAGCGAATCAGAAGTTAGGTTGGACAGGAGTTATGGGACAGCCCATTAGATTCAATGTCTGATTCGTTTGACTGATGCAATTGCAGGGCTGGTTGACTAAAGATAAAAAATACAATGAATAGCTTTTTATGTTCAAAACTTTGAAAAAGTTTTCTGGACACAGTTAATGATTTTCAACTTATGAATGTGGCTGGCTATGTGCTAGAAGCCCTACCCCTATTCAAAAAGGATAAACTATAACAATCGATGTATTTCGCCTTTGCATTGTCAGTCACTTTCGATGACCAGCGACGATGTTAGTAAATGCCCCTCATACTATGTCAGTATTCAGATTCCAGCGAATCAGTCTGCAAACTTTAATGCGACATGGATATAACTGATATGACATTTGTGAGGAGTGGTGGAACTGATGAGGTCTTGTGAGAATATCCAAGTTGTCAGTTCTGACGTAAAGGCAGGATGGCGAGTGGTTTAAAGTGTAGATATGTCTGCACGCCAAGAACAGCGACAATAAAAACCCATTTCAGAATAAAGGAATTTATTTATGGATGGATTGCTTTGTCATCATCTACGATAATCGCCAAGATAAGGTGTAACGGATTGATGTGCAACTGTTGCATTGACAAAATTGAAAAATCGTTCCACTGTGGAGTGGTGATTCTTCTCTGGAAGGCTTGAATATTCCTGTCGCTAAAGAAAGCTGTATTTAAGCTGGTAAAGAAGTCGTGTGAAAGCCGTCGAAGTAACTGATATCTTCTCAAATACAATTATTTTCATATTTCCGCAATCGGGTAAAATCCCTAGCACTTATCGAATACCGCTCTACCAAATGGGGTAAATCCAACGGAGGTGTCCGAATATTTTCAGTTGCAAGGAACTAAAATCACGTGATCGTTTCACTAGTCCAGTCGAAAACGCAGTTACACCCATATTTCGCGCTTTGCCGAACTTTTTCTGTGAGCAGTGTAAAGTCAAAAATTATTTAGCCATAATCAACATATTGTTCTCTGAAAGATAAGTAGTTACATCAAGGAGGTGACGGCAGTGTGAGTGAATATTAAAATTCACTATTTTTAGCGCAAGGCAACCTCGTGTGTCATAAAAATGACTTTAGCGCACCCTTAGGCCAGGCAACTCAAGGATGAGTGCCCTCTCAATTTCCTGAATAGGGAAACTAAAGAACTTGATCATCTCCGTTTTCTCATGACAGCTCCTTCAAACAGCAGAAAAGTGTGGACTGCGAGTACGATGCTTGGAAAATGGGAACATTTGGGTGAATCATATGAGAGTGCGATACAAAAATGCAGGTGTATGAATGCTCCAAGTGCTATATAAGGGATGTACGTCGTCGAGAAATACATATTCGTTGTGTTGTTCACTCTAGCCGCCCTGTGTTTTGTCATGGTAATGTCGGCCTGACGAATGTCAGTGCGTTACTGGTCGTGAGCTGGCCCATCACCCCTCTTGCCACGTCTACGCGGATCCACCTAATCTCAATGGGGAAAAGGAATAGCTTAGACGAGAGGTAGGCGAAGTACGAGTGGTGACGAACTGCGGGACCATCATGTAGACATTCATACCCACTTTTGGCAAATGTCTCGGCCAAAGACTGGTGAATCTTTATTTGTGTAACGTGAAATACGGGACCGAGACAACGACTTTGGCTTCGCTACTCTATATTGTGTGGATCTAACTCCTGCTCTTCTCTCGCTGATACCACACAAACATACACTTCGGCCAATTGATAATACTAGATGGGCCAGAAATATGGTAAATAAGACATTATATCACTAGAAGCGGGATTCAGCCTAATAAGGTAAACTTCGAAGGAAGCAGAGCTAGTATGCCGACTAAGGCCGATCCATTTTATAATCCAGTAGGTGTGAGGTGCACCATGCTCAAGCTGAACATCGTCAGCCAATCTGAAGCACAAAGCACAGCAGAATAAAAAATTTGAAGTAAGTAGAAATTCCACACCAGTAATTCCTGCCTTACCCTGTAGAGAGTAAGCCCAACGACATCCAAACAGTATAAAAATGCACTTGCAGCTTCATGCATTCCGTTGACTGATGGCAAATTGCAAGGCTCGTTGACTGAGGATTAAAAAATACAATGAATAGCATGTTATGTTCGAAATGTTCGAAAACATTTTCTGGACATAATTGACGAAATACATAATGAGTGTGGCTGGCTAGGTGCTGAAATGCACTATTCCTATTCAAAAAAGGACTATATAACAATCAAAATGTATCTCGCCTTCACACTGTCAGTGCATTCGATGACCAGCGACGCTGTGAGCAAGTGCCCTCCATACTATGTCAGTACTCAGATTTGAGCGAATATTTATGCAGAAGTCTGCAAAGCTCAATGCGAAATGGACAGAGTGACATGACACAATGAGGAGTGGCTGGAAGTGAATGGAAGTGTGCGAGCATATTGCCAAAGTTGTCCATTTGCGCACATAGTGCTCAATATCGTTACAGGTAAGGAGAAATAAATAAGGCACCGGTGTGGTTGCCCCATAATCAAAGGGAGTCGATGGAAAAGAAAGACGGGTTGTATCAGTCGACGAGCAACTACGGTGCATTGTGCAGGTCTTTCGTTACATCGTGACTCGAGGACAGCTCATGGACGACTTCGCACGAGGAAATCAGGAAAAAGCTGGACTATCGATAAGTATGAGGTATGACGAGTAACCCAAAAGTTTGCTTCGCTCAGCAGCACTCTTCACGTGCATGAATAGCGATTAAACCTCAACGCTGCTGTCTAAAAAAAGAGAATGCAGTCGATCACGATTAAGAGTAAGTGATGACATACATCTCGCAGTAATTTACTCCCACACGAGAGCGAAAACCAACTGACAAAGCAAAGAGATTATTAATTCAGTTATTTGATTGTTTGCTTATTCGTGCATGCAGTTGGCGCGCCTAGTCAAGAGGACGGTAGCCCTATTATCTTTATGGAATCAGCAGCATCAAGCATTGATGCTGCTGGTAGAGTAAACCACATTGCTTTCTGTGTAATCTTTCTAGGCGCGTGAAATGCATGCACGAGTAAACAAATAAATGAATAATAATCTTTTTTCAGTTGGCTTTCGATCAGCGATCGGATTCATTCATTGATTTCCTCGTGCATGCAGTT